GGGGGGGAGGCGAAGGTGAAGTAGGGAGGCTCGATGATCAGTTGAGGGGCCCTAATTCCCAAAATATGGTGATTTTATGTGATTTTTAACTACCGCTACTTGACCGTGATTTGTTTTTTTGGGGGGGGGGGACTGGGTGGGGCGCGAGTAATTTTTGGGGAGAGTGCGCCCTCCCTAGATACGCCACTACCAAACACTCCATCCCCCAGCCCCCGTGTTTGAGGCATCTAAGACTACAGTATATTCAGTATACAATGGATACTCCTCCATGTTCGTGTCGTTAGAAGCAGATACAGGAACTCATGCTGGTCATATATTTTGTTGACGTGAGGCATGCGCGGTGATGTAATGAAGCTGCGAAACAGACTGTTTCTTTTACGGACTGACACGATATATTTAAATCTAAGGACTGTGGTACAGATTAACAGAGGAGATTTATGTATGTGACGTAAGCGACTCGCGAAACATGGCGAAAATGATACGGATTTTCGGTGGTTTTTGGCTGTTTTTTTTCGTTATTATCTAATATCCAGCCTTGAAGTAGCGGAATGTGGTCGTGACATATTATAAAAATCCCAGTGTATGAGATGTGAACACATCAGAGGAGATAGGTGAACTTACATCGGGGCGATTAGTAGAATTAATATATAGATTATTATTATTATTATTATTATTATTATTATTATTATTATTATTATTATTATTATTATTATTATTATTATCATCATCATTATCATTATTATTATTATTATTAACACTATTATTATTATCATTATTATTATTATTATTAATATATTACACTAAATTTCCTATAAGGTTCTAGCAATTTTTTTTTTCATAATTTAAAAAAGTATTGTAATGTGTATCACAATATTGTCAAAGTAAGACCCTTTGGAAACCGTTTGAAACCATCTGAAAGTTCAATTTCCTGGAATCTAGAGTTGCTACGTCCTTATTTTTTACTCAGTACCAACCTTGGTGCATGCTGAGGCGGGTGTTAAGGTTTTTAGTAGTTTTGCATACTATTAACTATTCTAGTTAATTACAGCTTCTTTTCAAGAATAACATCTATTTTTCATTCTTTAATTTTATAATGTGAAGTTTCACTGGCGGAGATTGGATATCTAGTCTGATTATTGGCGCTGATGGTAACTGGGCACTCAAAATGTCTGTTAATTTGACGATGAGACATGATACTGGAATGCCTAATTCATCTCCAATTTCTTCTATTACACCAATTGTTCGGCTTCAGTATGGTTGCAACCATACATTGGTAATTCCAGGTAAGAGATGTGTATAATAATAAATTCCATTTGACATAAACCTAGTTTAATAACCCGGGCTATAAAAATACAAATCGGTATAAAAAAAAAAAGTATATATTTTTATTTTTGGTCACTTGAGTTAAATTATATCTCAAACACTCCCTCGATCGTAAATTTAATTGTCATAACCTTCCTGCCATGTTAAACTCTCAGAGTGTGAAATTAATTTACTAAAACAGATTGAATACCTCTTTTATAAAATAATTTCAGACTAATCTACAAAGTATACACATCATACCATTAATCAGTTTAATGTTCCCACTTTTGGAACTAGACAAGCGTTCAACACCCCTTGCAGGATAGCCCCCAGAATGAAAATAATCCGCTTTACTACCACCTTCCTTCTCGTCGCCAATGCAACATACTCTTTGCAACTCCTAAAACCTCCTTCTTATCCCTTGTCGCACCTCCCACTTATTCCTTCCATATTCCCATACTCCCTGCCTATTTACCCTTCCACAATCTCTCCGTCCCTTATAAAGCAATTTCTTAACATGTAGACCAATACTAACAATAAATAGAAAATTAACAATAGCTAGTTGAAATCTAAATCAATAATAACTTATACCTGACATAACATTCCTCACTTTGCTGTGACAGTCAATAATGTATTATATTGCATTGTATTGTGTTGTTTGTTAGTAGGGAATGATCCTTGATGGCATACTGAAGCAAGAAATTGAATAAAGAGTGGCCGAAGGCTAACCCTGCAGTTTTCTAAAATTTTTGGCATTCCAGCATTGATTTTTTTTTTCAGATGCTACAGTAGACTACTCTCGTTATTAAAGATGATTACCTGAGCAACCGACGTACGTTTTCCATTCCATGGGACCGGTTGTGGGCTTATGATTTTTCTCCAGGCCATTCCCAGAATGGCAGGAGTTGTTTTTTCTACATTCTTGAATTTCCTAGAATGCCTGTTCCATTAATTTTGAAGTTGAATTTTCCCTTATCTAGAAAATGTGAGATGTTAAGGAATCTCAGATTTTTGTAATACGTTTCGTCAGAAGTCGACTGCATTACAACAATCTTTAATATTGACAGAAACATAATATTTCATATCTGTCTCTTATACACATACACACTTAAGAACATTTATTCCGTTTTTGGGCCCACGAAGTGGATACGGTGTTTGCATGTCTAGGAAGAATGTCTCTCTTAATGTACTAGGCCTACGTACCGTATTATTCTTGGATGTAGGTTCGCAAATTGTTTCATAAGCATTCTAATGGCGATCGATTCCACAGAAAAGAAACTTGGCATTGCAGTTCACATTGGTAATTTCTTAACACATAGACTAACAGGAATACAATAATTGTGATTTCATATAAAGTAATATTGGTTTGGAATCTACAATTATAATCTTAAATCAAGGTGTTTATTTAAAATTGCCTTTGATATTTGTTTAACTGATGATTTGCGATAAAACTTCAGTCATCACAAAAACACGACAAAGACAAACTGCTCTAATATTTTTTAAACGTATTTTGTTGTCTCTTTTGATGAAAAATGTAATCTTTAAAACTAGTAACTGATCCGGACGGTGATACTGTAAGATGTCGATGGGCTGTAGGGCATAGGGAGTGCTCAGATGTGTGTAGTGGGTTTCCAAATGCTGTACTCGATGAGGTAAGAAAACACATTAAAGGTTTTCAGTAAAATGTGTATTGTTCTTTTTGCTGCGGTTGCTGTTGTTGATAACAATATCATCATCGTTATCATTAACTAGCTGGAAAATCCGCCGTTGTTTTTGACTTTAGGCCACACACTCTACACCGGATATTTCTGAAAATGGTCAACTGATCTGAATACTTTTAGGAAAGTTTAACCAAGTTACAAGCAACACATTATTATGTGTTGCTGACGATCCATTTTAATTAAATAAGTATTCGAACTCTTTGTCAAATTCAACTGAATTTTATTTAACAACAAAACACAAATATCAAGTAACATGACAATGCTGGAACTCAAGAGGGCGACATTGCATTATTAGAGTTTTAAAATAGATCACAGTTCTCCGTATGGAACTGGTGTCACTTTAGTAGTGCCTGAATATATAATTAGATTATGAATATGCCTAAGTATTACAGTTTGTGCAGTTATAACTGTGTTGCCTACATTCCATTATTGTCTATTAATTCCTATATCTTATTTGAAAAAGTCACAATACAACACAATACACCTTGTAGCCAAAAAGCCAGATTGCGTGTATATACATGTCATTCACAAAAGCAATTTACAAAAGTTACGCATTATAGAAAAACGTCACAAAGGTAAAATATGGAAAAGAATTTATTTCAATGGAGAACTGTCGCAAAAAATCAGTTTTTTGCTACTTGTTGTGAAAAAGTATGAAATTGGACTGTTATATAATACCCATTTCACACTGATGCTATTTTGCAAATATTAACAACTTGTAACAAGTTGTAACCAGGTTTGGACGAGTGTGAAAGCAAATCCTTGTAAAACTTTCCGAGATTTCACAGGGGTCCCCTGAGTTATCTCGGAACAAAAACAGACCATCGCGAGGCCTGTTTTTTTTCCCGAAATCTTCCGAGATGTTGTTGCGCATTCGTCGTGTCCATATTTTGACCTTTTCGCGGGCTGTGTTTTTTTTTTTTTTTTTGTTTAGTTCGAACGAATGGCGGCAGCGATGGAAAACGTATCAACATTACTACCATTTGTTAATAGGCCTAGAACTAAAATCAAAAGAAATCTCGCTAAATTTCACATGTCTGATGTAGAAACAATCACGAGGCTTCGTAAAATACGCCGACAGCGAATCATTATGATGCTTGTCGCACTGAATCCCTCTAACAACAATGGTGAGCTACCGGCCGGCGGCGCGACTGCGCCTAGCTAGCCTAGGCCTATCTTTCTCGCTGGGCTCGACTACAGCAAGCGAGCTAGGAGTTGAATTCGTTTTACTCTCCGAAGGCTAAGGACCATGGAATAATTATAATCTTGTTAATTCGGTACCAGGCCTAGTTTAGTAGTTGATATGTAATTCGGA